CAGCAGTTACAAAATAGTCACAGGGATATAAAGTACAGCATAGGGAATATAGTCACTTATATCATAATTACTATGTATGGTGTCAGATGGGTACTAGACTAATCAAAGGGATCACTTCATAAATTATGTAAATGTCTAACCACTATGCTGTACACCTGCAACTAATATAAAATAATATTGAATGTCAACTCTAATTGAAAAATAAAAATTAAAAAAATCTTTTCATATATTGTTGAATTTAATTTGCTAATATTTTGTTGAAGATTTTTGTACCTAAGTTCATGAGAAATATTGGTCAGTAGTTTTCTTTTTTTGTACTTTGTTTGGTCTTGGTATCAGGGTAATAATAGCCTCACAATTTTATAGACGAGATTGTATAGAATTGGTGTTAATTCTACTTTAAATGTTTGGTAGAATTCTCCATTGAAAGTATCTGGGCCTAGAGATTTTTGGAAGTCACTGATTAATTCAATTTTTAGTAGTTATATGACTTTTCAAATTATCTATTTTACATTGGTTGAATTGTGGTAGTTTGTGCTTTTTGAGGAATTGGTCTATTTGATCTAAGCTGTCATATTTATTTAAATAGAATTGTATTTTCATTATTATTTTTTATCCTTTTAATGTCTGTGGGGTCTGCAGTGAGCTCCTACTTCATTTCTGGTATTAGTAATTTGTATATTCCCTTTTTTATAATTAGTCTTGATAGAGGTTTATCAAAATTTTAATCTTTTCAAAGAACCAGCTTCTTGTTTCATTGATTTTATTGCCTTCCTGTTTCGATTTTACTGATTTATGCTCTTCTTATGTCCTTTTGCTTGATTTGTGTTTATTTTGATCTTTCAGTTTCTTGAGGCGGATGCTTAGATTATTGATTTGAGACCTTTTCTTTTTTCTAACTTAAGCATCTAATATACTATAAATTTCCCTCTCAGACTGTTTTGACTGTCTCACAAATTTTGATATGTTGCATTTTAATTCAATATATTGTTTTTTTTTTTAATTTCCCATGGATTATTTAGAAATGTGTTGTTTAATTTCCAGGATTCTGGAGAATTTCCTCCTGTCTTTCTGTTATAGACATGTAGTTTGATTCTATCATGTTTAGAGAACATACTCTATTATTATTTCAATTCTTCTAAATTTGTTCAGGTTTGTTCAATGAACCGGGATATGACCTATGTCACAATTCTTCTAAATTTGTTCAGGTTTGTTCAATGAACCGGGATATGATCTATGTCACAATTCTTCTAAATTTGTTCAGGTTTGTTCAGTGAACCGGGATATGATCTATGTCGTGAATGTTCCATGTATGCATTGAAAGAATGTGTTTCTACTGTTATTTAGATGGAGTGTTCTATACATATCAATTCAATCTCGTTTGGTTGATGATATTGTTTAGTTCTATATCAGTTGATTTTCTGTCTAGTATTCTATCAATTGTTGAAAGAGGTATTTAAGTTTCGAACTATAAACGTGGATATGTCTATTTCTCCTTTCTGTTCTTTCAGTTTTTGCTTTAAGAAATTTCAAGTTCTGTTGTTTGCCACATACATACACATTTAGGATTTCTGTCTTATTGATGAGTTGAATCTTTTACCATTATGTACAGTACTTCATTGTCCCTGGTAATTTCCTATTTTATCTGATACTAATTAATATAACCATCCTTCCTTTATTTTGATTAATGTTTGTATGGTATATCCTTTTTATCCTTTTATTTTCAACCTACCTATATCATATTTGAAATTATTATTTTGTAGACAGCATACAGTTGGGTCATATTTTTAAAACTATTCTGGCAATCTCTTTTTGTATATTTGTATATTGAGACCATTTATATTTAATTATATTTTATAATTATTGATATTACAGGGTTTAATTTTGCCATTTTAAAACATGATGTCTATTTGGTCCCTGTTTTTTTTTCCCCTATTTCCCTTTTTGTGCCTTCTTGTAGTTTATTTGAACATTTTTTAGAATTTCATTTTGATTTATTTGCAGTTTTTTTCCAATTAGTTGACATTCAATATTACTTTCTATTAATTTAAGGTGTACAGCATTGTGGTTAGACATTTATCTAATTTACGAAGTGATCTCCCCAATTAGTCTAGTACCCTTCCCCCAATTAGTCTAGTATCCACCTGGAAATATATAGTTATTAAATTTATTCTTACTTTATCCTTTCTCTTGTTCTTTCTTCATTTGTGATGCTTCAAGTTTCCTTCTTTTATCTTTTCCTTTCTGTTGGAAGAACTTCCTTTAGCAATTCTTTTACAGCAGTTCTGTTAACAAATGCTTAGTTTTCCTTCATCTGAGAATGTCTTTATATCGCCTTCATTCTTGAAGGATATTATCATGGAATATATAAGACCAAGATGACAGTCATTTTCTTTCAGCACTTGAAAAATATTGTGTCATTTCCTTCTGGCCGCCATGGTTTCAGATATAAAATCCACTGACATTCAAGTCACTTCCATAAGTAATGCATCATATCAGAATTTATGAGACATCTTCCATACAGTGACACAGCAACATGTTTTAATGAACCCTGTATGTTTGTGCAGATTTCTTTGTGGTTTGTTTGTGGTTCACGCAGCTTCTTGAACCTGTGTAGGTTTATGTCTTTTTCCAAATTTGAGAAATTTTCAGCCATATTTTTTCAAGTACTTTTTCAGCTTCAATCTGTTTTCCCCTTCTTTCTGGAACTCATGAACAATGGATCATTTATTGTAGTACCATAGGTCTCTGAGGCTCTGTTCATCTTTTTTTACTCTATTTTCTCTCTGTTGCTCAGATTGTGTAATTTCTATAGTTCTATTTTCAGATTCACTAGTTCCTTACTCTGTCATCTCTGTCCTGCCGTTGAGCCCATACAGTGAGCTTTTTAAATTTTGGTCATTGTATTTTACAGTTCTAAAATCTCCACTTGGTTCTTTTTTATATTTATTTTCCAATAATTTTTTTGTTTGTTACAAATGTGTTCATAATTGCTAGTTGAAGCATTTTTATGATATTGGCTTAAAATCCTTTTCAGATAACTTCAGTATCTGTGTCATTTCAATTGTCTTTTCTCATTCAAGTTAAAATTTCCCTGGTTCTTGGCTTCACAGGTAATTTTTTCCATTGGATCTTGAACATTTGAACATCTGTTATGAATCTCTGAATTCTATTTAAATCTTTAATTTTAGGAGGCCATCCCTGACACTGCACTAAAAGGGGTGCATCACCTAGTTACTGCCAGGTGGAGAGGGTAGTCCAGAAGCCCTGACTTCCTACTAGACCTCTGCTGATATGAGAGGGGAATATTTCTGTGGTGCTTGGTTTCTGTCTTTCTATGCTGGCCCTTCCCTGCCTTTTGGCTAGAGATAACAGGTTTTTCTTGAGCCTTTTTGATTTGTGACCATTGATATTTCTGGCCTGCTGGCTTCTTTAAAACCCATTCCAGGATACAGAGGAGGCAAAAGGAAAACACAGGGAACTCACAGCTCTGTTTTTCCTAATTTCCCAAGGTCTTTAGTCAGTCTATCTTTTTTTCCCCACCTTTCAGATTCTTATCTTTGTTTTATGTGTCGTATTTGGGGATTTCATTTACACTGGGTGGGAAAAATAAGGAGAAATGTTTTTATTCTACTTTATCTGGAACCAGAGTTAGCTCATCTGGAAATTGGTTTTTATTAAATTATATTGAAATTTGACATGGTGGCTCTTTTTATGTAAATAACCTGTACCAATAGAATATTAAAGGTTTATAGAAAGGCCTTTATGAATTTAGCTTTTCCTTGGTTTAATTAGCTAAATATGAATCTTTAGCACACCTTTTAAATCATGTTGAAAGTGCTTCTTTCCCAAATTCTGTACCAGTATTTCTATTAAGGTGATGGACCATATTAGAAAACAATGTCGACTTTGGTACACATCCAGGTTCAGAGGAAGGATCACAAGAAACTAGTAGCAGAGCTGGTACAAACATCCCCAAAGTCAGCTCACTCTCTGCTGCTCCCAGTGACATAAGCAATGTTTTAATGAAAGAATAAAAAAGTTCAGAGGAGGCAGGACTCATTGCTTATATGTAGTCTTAGTTGTACAGAATAGCCAGTTGTTGGCAAGATTTATTTTACACATGTGAACTAGCACACTTGTGAAGGATGGTTTCATGGTCTGTGCCTAAAGGTACAGCTTCAAGCCCAGCTCTTACTCCCACTCTATCCAGCAGATCTCAAAAAGTTCTATTCTCAACAGGCACCCAACAGCAGCAGCTGGAGAAAGCACAGTCATACTGACAGGGGTGCCTCCATCTTTTTCCTGTCTTTATTCTCACCAAACACCTCCTGGGTCACATTTTCTCCTGGTCTGTCTTCATAAAGCAGAAATGATAGATACCGGTTTGGTATGGATTTACAGCATTGTCTAATGCAGCTTAGATAAGGATGATTAAAGGCTTTATATTTTAGAGGCTTTACATTGTCTGGGTTCAACAGGATTTCTGTGGATTTCTGTGTTCTGTAGTTCAAACATCTTTTGTTCCTTCCCTCCTAGGTCAGTCACCATGAACTGGAGCACTCAGCATGTTGCCCCAGCACTGGAAAAGTCATGCTGTGGAGGCAATCTATCTCGCTACCAGAGACTGGGACTTGATTTGGTACCAAGTGCTGTGCAGTTCTGCAGAGCAGGAATATCATGAGCTTATTAAATAATGACCAACACATTTATTGAAACAAAGTTTCCAGTAAGGAAATGACAGTACAATGTGGATAATTATGGCAATAAAATAGGAAGAGCTTTAGTTCCCAGCCTGAACCTGCCTCTGCTGGAGCCATTTCAATAAAGCATCCTCACAATAAAGAAGAGACATGATTTGGTACCATTTCCCATCAGCAGGTGTTTGGACAAAACATCAATGTGACTAAGGGCCAAGTGAAACCCTGTGTATCTTGATTAAATTACTATTAAATAAAAGGCCTGGGTGGTATTCTTTTAAACCTGACTCATCCAGCTCTTCAAATAGCTTCCCTTGTCCCTGCCCCTGAACCAATTTTTAAAAAGTAATCTCTCTCCCTGGGGTGGGAGAACCCAAATGAACTGAAACAAATTTTTGCTTTTAAATTGTTCTGTTTTTATAATGATACTATTAAATTACTCTGGAGTCATGCTAATGATTTGTTTTGTTTTGTTTTGCTAAGAAGCAAATTTTATGATATAGTTCAATGGCATGGTTCAGGGATACACAGGAATATGAAGACTATGAAGGAAACTGTATGTTGGGTTCAAGAATCTTAGCAATTATCCAACACTCAAAGCCTTTTAAAGACTATTGCAGGTCAGGAGAAGTCACAAGCAGAGACCAAGTTTAAAGTGTTTCTTTTAACCCTAAGGCACATTTTAAAAATCTCAAAAATCTGTTGCCATGATTTTTAGACCCCATTTTAAAACTGAAGTTTTTCAAGCACCTAAATCAGGGGTTGGCAAAAACCTTTTCTGTAAAGAGCCAGATAGTAAATAGTTCAGGCCTTACAAGCAAATAGTTGCTCACTTCTGTCACAACTCTTCAGTTCTGCATGAAAGTAGTCATAGACAATATGCAAATGAATGGGCATATTGTATGCCAACAAAACTTTATTTACAGACACAGGCATTGGGCCAGATTGGTCCAGTGGCTGGTTGTAATTTTTTAACTCCTGGTCTAAATGAAGCTGGAGAGGAATAGCTTCCACCCAACAAAGAACCT